CTGCTAAGAATCATTAGCATTTGTCCCCCGTCTGTTTGGATAGGGGCACGTTGTTAAAAGGGGACCTCAATAGGGCGCACCCAGATAGCCTTCGGCGTTTCGGGGAGGCGGGAGAGCGCGCCCTCGCGGCAAGTCCGCTGGTTCGCTGGCCCAGCCGTCTGGCGCCGGAGCTGCGCTCCCCTTCTCCCTGTGGCTCTCGGAGTGAGCGCCCCGCCAGCCTCCCGGAGCCTCCACGCTCCCTGGTGTGCTCCACTGTGGGTGCTTTCTGTTGCTTGGAGGCCTGGGGAGCAGCTTAGAGAGATAATAGTGTTTCATGGAACATTAGAAAAAGAAACAAAAGAAAAATGATAGGATCCATCCAAGAAGCTTTATTGAAGTCTAACTGTGGAAAGTATCCTGTTTTTTTTAGGTTCTGAAATTTCACGGAGTGTTGTTCTTTTGGACAAGACGTCTTAGGGTATTTCTTAGTGTACACGTTTTGGACTTCAGACCATTCCTAACAGTGCCTTTCTTCTGACAGCTCTCAGCTTCCACGCTGTGTGCCCATGAATTCACAGAGTTCCCTCGGTGACTTCTTAGTCTCTCGACCCTGGTGATTAATTCTGTTACCAGCTGGCCTGGTGTCGCTTCTCTTCTTACAAATCATACTTGAACTTGGGCGTAGTTGGAGAAATTAGCGATGAGGCACGGGACTCTGTGTTCCTGCTGACAGCTGTTTTCCCTTTTTTTAAGCTTCTGGGTGATGAGTTGTAGACCCGAACACGCGCCCGTTGGAAGTGTGCGTAAGCCCTGGCTGGGTTTCAGCGGGTGGAGCATCGTCCCGCAGACCGAAAGGTCGTGGGTTTGATTGCTGCTTGGGGCACGGGCCTGGGTTTCAGGTTCAGTCCCCCGTCGGGGCGCATGCAAGATGCGACCTACTGACGTTTCTCTCTCACATCCATGTTTCTCTCCCTCCCTTCCCCTCTCTCTAGAATCAATAAAAATTAAACAAAACAGAACAGTATGCAGTTAGATAAGTTTTAGGACACTTTGCTGTTCAGGCATGACCACAATCTAGTGTTAGAACATTTCTACCGCTGGAAAAAGCCCCTTCTGGCCCATTGGCAGTGAACGCCCGCCTCCTCCCCAGTTCTGGACCGCCCCTGCTTCTTTCTGAAGCCGCGATTTTGCCTTTCCCGTCATAGCCCAAGGTGGGAAAACCCAGACATCTGTCAGCTGGTCAGCGTATAAAAGACTGAGCTCTGTCTAAGCCACAGAAGCACACAGCGGTGGGAGAGGGCCGCCTGCCAATTCGTGGGAAAGCGTGGGGGCACCTCGGCCGTGTCATGCCAGCGGAGGAGGTCGGGCACACAGGCGGCATGTTATGGTTCCGTTCACATACTACTTTAAGGTCTTATTTTAAATTAATTGATTTTCAGCTTATTGGGATCTACTAGGTTATCAGACACCAGATTATCATCAAATTATTCTTTTGGTTTTTTTTTTAATTAAACATGCTCTGGTCATGGGATTCCTATACACTAGTAACAGTCAGAAGGAGAAACTAAGGAAACAGTCTTATTTACAATTACATCAAAGTGAATAAAACACCTAGGAATAAACTTAACCAAGGAGGTGAAAGACCTGTACTCAGAAAATTTTAAGACACTGGAGAAAGAAATGGAAGAAGATAGAAGTGGAAGCCTATGTCGTGATCATGCATGCGAAGGGTTAACATTGGTAAATGACCCTACTCTGCAAAGCAATTTACAGAATCAGTGCAATTCCTATTAATACCAACGTCATTCTTCTCAGAATGAGAACAAATAATCTTAAAATTTATGTGGACCCAGAAAAGACCCTGAACAGCCTCTGCAGCCCTGAGAAAGAAGAGCAAAGTTGGAAGGATCACGCTACCAGATAGCAAACTATACTGCAAGGCCACAGTAATCAAAACAGCCTGGTACTGCCATAGAAACAGGCACATAGAGCAGAATAGAGAGCCCAGAAATAAACCCACAGCAACGCGGTCAATATTTGACAGAGGGGGCAAGAACCTACAATGGGGTAAAGACAGTCTATTCAATAAATGGTGTTGGGGAAACTGGAGGTGCACAGGCAAAAAAAAAAAAAAAGAAAGAAAGAAACTGGACTACTCTCTTCTAAGTTTTTAAAACTTCTCAAAGGAACGCTTCCGTCTAGTTTAAACGCTCAGCGCCTGGAGCAGCAGAGAAGAGGTCCAGGGCCATTTCTTTAAACCACAGGTCCCAGCCAGCACGTGTGGGGGCCCCAGAGCCTCCCTCTCTGTCTCAGGGACAAACCCCCCGCTGCATCACCGAGGTAAAGGGGCTGAGGGCGGCCTCTTCTCGCTCCTCTGGACTCTGAAGCAGGCAGCGCGGTGGCCCGCGGGGTCGGAGCGGCGGCACAGGACGCAGCCGTCGCAGGCCCCTCCCGACCGTGCCGCCCGGGCTGGGGCCCTCCACGGCCGCAGCTGCCCTCTCGGCCCGGGCGGCCTCGGGCTCAGGCTTCGCTGTGCCTTCGCCTCGCACCTGCACTGTGTCCCTGTCACCCCGAGGCCCAGGGACGTGCTGAGGCGGGTGGTGCCCGCCCGGAGGCAGCGGCTGCTCGGGGTGGGAGGCCGGCCGTTCGGTTGGGAGGCGCCCACGGTAGCAGGTCCTCGCAGGGAAACCTGGGCAAAGCCCTTGAAAACCGGGGAGACGGGGGAGGGGGCCGAAGGGGGGGGCGCTGAGGGCGAGACGGGGCGGTGCCGGCTTCCTCCTCCCCTTGAGGGAAGCGGGGGAGGAGCTTTGACAGACGGGAAGGGGCTCTGGCCCCACTTTCCCAGGCCCCAGCGGAGCCCAGTTCTCGGTTTCGCGGCGTCCGCGCCAGCCTTGCAGAGTTGCCCGCTTGCTCCGTGAATTCCTTCTAAATTGAATGTAACTAAATTCAAAAGGGAGTTTATCTTACAAAACAGAGCAAAACAAACCAGAAAACCAGGACCACGGGGACTAGGAAGTTAACTGCTCAGTGCAAACGCGGGCGGAAGTCAGCGTTGCTGGTCACCAGGCGGAGGCGTCGGTCTGCAGCGGGCCCGTGTCCCTGCAGCCGGACGGCCGCCGTGCCCTGCGCCGGCCTCCTGGGAGGCAGGGGACGGAGTGAGCGTCTCAGTGGGCGTCTAGTCTGCTCCGACGCTGGCGGGCACAGTCCGTGGGGCACGGGCCCTGCTCCTCGAGCCTGGGCAGAGGCTCCGCGCGGAGTATGCGGGACACGTGGTTTCTCCTGATCGCCACTCTGTGACACCCAGGAGCCTTTTCTCAGAGTAATGCTTTTTTATTTTGTACAATAATATTCATAGGGAGACTGGGCAACACAGTCATATTGAAGTGCCGTTTTCAGCATGCGCTTAACTGTGATGTGGTCCGTGTGCCCCCCAGTAAAACCCCGGGAAGGAAGCCTGGCTGGGCGCCCAGTAACCCCTGTGCCCTCAAGCCCGCGTTCAGGGCGGGGTCTGCTTTGCAGTGGCTGCTGCAGACCCGGCGCGGCAGGACGTCCGCGGGGCGCACTGTGAAAAGCCCCCGCAACTGAGCGCGTGGCCCGCACACGCTGGTGAAGGGTGGGTTCGGTTTCAGTTGAAGGTGAGAAACAAAATTTTAAAAATAAAGGTGCGGTTAGTTTTCCCACCCAGAGTCACAGGCTTCTGAATTTCGTGGACAGCCTATCAGCAGTTCTTCCTTACGAGAGGTTCAGGTGTCCCGAGGTGGGATGAGACGCAGTTACAGGGTGGGACCTGGGTAACACGCGAAAGCCTCCGCTCCCCACGCAGCCGCTGCCGGGAGCCTGCCATGTCACGGCCTCACGCGGCCGCAGCTGCAGGTGAGAGAAACCCGTCCTGGAGCTGCCCGTCGGGAGAGGCAGCCCGTTCGTGGCGCGGGCCAAGACCCGCGGACGCGCCCCCTGGCCCCGGCCCTGCATCGAGGAGCCCGCCCTGCGCACAGGCACGGCCTTCACGTGCCAGCTCACAGGGAGGCAGCTGGAGCCCGGCTACCGGATCAGGGTGGAGTCGCGCAGCGGGGCGTGGCAAAGCCAGGGAGGCGGTGTTCTTGAAGAGCTCCTGGCGTGAGGAAAGGCTTCCTGTGTCCTGGGGTGTGTGCTTAACGCCCCTCACAGCGGTGTCTGACGCTGAAGGGGAAATACGGCAGAATTTCAGTGACAGGGAGATTGTGGGTGATGATTATTTTCTCCTAAATTCAGACTCTCTTGAGAACCTACCCTGAGCTAGGTGCGGTATTGTGTGTGAAATCAGTGTTTAAAAAACGCACAAAATGTCTCCTGTCTCATCGCTCTTAGAGCCTCAGTCTTTCCTTTGCAGTCTTTGCAATGATCGTGCATCAGTGTTTTCAATTCTGAGAAATACCTGGGAGTTCCCAGTTTTCTGCTGCTGCTACAGACGTGCCCTGCAGGGGCGCTCACACGCCCCCGCAGGGGAGCGGGCCAAGGTGGGGGAGCGGGCAGGGCGCCCTGACGCCAGGCGGGTCCCGGGGGAAGGCCTGTCTGTGAAGGTGCGGGCGCCCAGTCACGCAGCAGGTGCTGGCGTTGGAGGCTCAGTGTTGCGTTCTCCTTGGATTGATGTAGCCAAACTCTCTGAAAGGCTCGAGAGAGAGGACGTGCCGTGAGTCCCTGTTAGCAAGATAAATTAAGATTGCTTTCTGCTCTTACATAGTCATCTTAAGATAAACAGTGAGGATGTAAAGCTAAGGAAGTCAACAAGTTTAGGTTCAGTGGCTAATATCAGAAGTAGATTTTCTTCTAAGACTAGTGTATGTTTTCTTTTTGAAACGTACACGTCATCTAAAAAGGCCAGCACAGCTTGCCCCGGCCCTCCCTCGAGCACGCTGGCCGGCCGCAGAGAAAAGCCCCCCCACCTGACATCGGAGAGACCCCGCGACGGGGCCCTGAGCCTCAGGGAGCATAGCCGAGGCCTCGGGCAGGGTTGTGGGAAGATGCAAACTGAATGTTGCCAGCGCAAATGGGTTTTGCGGAGGGGAAGGAAAATTCCTTTCGCTTATTGTGGCCATCGTGACGCCGGGCCCTGAAGTGCCCCCCCCCCAAAAGGTGGCCTGCGGCCCTCGCCACCCTGGGCGGGCAGCGGCGGGCTTCCCCACACCCGGGCTCGCCGCGCCCCCGTCGCCTCTGTGCTCTCCCAGGGCCGCAGACCAGCCCCCGTGACCGCGTGAGGCCTCCTTTCAGGCTCCTCCGAACGGTGACTTGCTGACCTGGTATCCACGTTGTTAAGAGATCAATATGTGGCTGACTCTGCGCAGCCCTTTGCCTGTGATTACTCTAAATTTAGCTCATTTGATTTAGTCTCCGAACACTAAAGGCAAAAATACCTTCCCGTGTTACGGGTTCGGAAGCTGAGACCCAGGTAAGGCACGGCGCTGAGCTACGGTTGGTGAGAGGCCCAGGAGAGCCCCTCTCCCCCCCTCAAAAAGGAAACACGTCTGTGTCCTAACCCCGGCCCTGTGGCCCGTTGCCACCTTAGAGGGCGGAAGGGGCTTTGCCCCTGAGGCTGCGCTAGGGACCCCAGGGGGCTTAGCTGGCAGACCCAGTGCGGCCGCCACGGTCCTTATGCAAGTGAGGGGTCGGGGCCGGGTCACCACAGAGGCAGACGTGTGTCAGGCCTGAGGATCCGGAGGAGGGGCTGGAGCCCCTTGCTGCAGGCGGCTCTGCCCTGACCCGGGTGGCGGCGGCCTGCGCCCTGGGCAGCCGCAGAAAGAGCCCGCCCCGCCGGCCCGGGGCCCCGGCGTCGCGCTCCAGAGCCGCACGGCCGGCCGTGCGCCCTCTGCCGGGGCCGTGGCGACGTGCGCAGCGGCAGTGGGTCCAGGCCCCGGGCCCCACGGTGCCGCACCGGAAGGCCTCCTGGCTTGAGGGGCATCCCCTGGAGTCGGGAGGGCTGACGCGGGGGTCTCGCAGGGTGGGTCCGAAGCGCCACCCTGCTGCCCTCCGCTGTGGGAGACGGGTGCCGCGCCACGTGCCTCACAGGGCCCTGCGGCTGCAGGAGCTCGACGCAGGCGCAGTGCTGGGTGCGGTTCTTGTCTCTGGGTCAAAGCGCGGTCCCATTTGCTCCAGGACAAAGCTTGTGAGGCCCCAGGGTCTTGGGTGTCAGCCCAGCGGCGGACTTCAGCTCTGCGTCCACGTTCGTCGGCCGCTGGCAGGTGGGGGGACGGTGTGAGTTCAAAGGACTGGGAAGGGCTGGAGACCCGCCTAGAGGTGGGAGTGGGGCCGTCCGGCTCTGGGGAGAGCGGAGAGCGGGGGCGCTGGCCTGGTGTCCCGCCGGCGTCTAGATGAAGAGAGAGCAACGTGGCGGGGGCGGTGCCGTGTCGCTGGTGCTTGGGGCGAAGTGCCAGCGTGAACCGTGCGGGCTTGGGGCTCTGGGGTGATGCGAGAGCTACGTCTTGCGCTTGTCCCTCGTCCACGGGGCCTCGTCGGGGGCGTTGGCGGCCCTGTTTTTGTCAGAAGGAGCACACGGCCACACAGCCGGCCGTGCACATGTGCCCGTGGGGTGTCTGCGGAACAGGACGGGGAGTGGGTTTGCGAGCGCGGGGAGCCGGCTTGTGCGGTGGGAGCGTTTCTAAGCACGTGTTTCCAGTTCCATTTCTAACCGTGGACGTTGCTTAAAGCAGCGAGCAGAGTGCAGCAAGACCCCGACACATGCCTCCCTCAGCGTTGCTGCGGGCGTCGAGGTGGCTTATTGACCGCCAAGCCTGGCGCCCGCCGCAGGACGGCCTCCCTGATGGGAGCTGCGAGGAGAGCGTTCCCGGCAGCTGTTGCGTTAGGTTGGTGGCTTGGATTGCAAGTTGCCGAATTCCAGCTCAAGCGATACTAACCCGGGAGGGGGGGACGCACTGCCTGGCTCAAGGACGGGGTGGACGTGGCTGTCCACCGCTGGGCGCAGCTCCCTTCCACTCTCCCGCATTGTTCTCAGGAGGTTCCGTGCGGTGGCCTGGACCGCCGTGTGGACTCAGGAGAAAGGGGGTTGTGATTTATAACGCTCCCGGCCAAAGCTGAGGTCCGCGCTGCCCCGGCCTGGTGCGGGCCATGCGCCCCTCTGACCGCCAGCCCCGGTCCTGGCCGGCTCCCGTGGCTTGGGGGTCGCGCAGCCTCCCAGCAACGTGAGGTACAGGAAACAGATCTCTCCACAATAGTTAGGGTGCCACTGCCAAACAAGAGGCACTGTCACTCTGTGAAAGGGCAGAAGTCACTGGGGGGTGTCCAGCCAACCTTAGACTGTGTGGTGCTTCTCCGGACTCAGAAAACAGGCCTTCCGATGAGCACAGCCGCGCACAGACGGTCGCAGGGAGCGCGCGGTCTCGTCACGTGGGCAGAGCTGGCGGGGCCGCGTGGTTGGTCATGCCGTCCTTGAGGTGTGTCCAGTGACACCGTCTTAGCTGGATGTCCTCTGCCATGCATTTCACTGCACGTATGTTCGTCACTTCATGGACACGCTCCTGTCTCGATTTCTTCGCTCTGGAGCGAAGAGCACTCTCCTGTTCCCTTGAAACGAGAACCAGCGTGCGGCGGTCCCGTAGGCAGGACACTGTGTCTCCGAGGGGCGTTGCACAGTCTGCCAGCCCCCGGGTGCTGCGTCTGTGACCAGAACTCCTCTCAGTCTGCTTGAAACTGGCATTTGCAAGTTTCCTTATTAATTTTCACCCACAAAAAATAAAATAAAAAAGGAAAAAGAACCTCAAACTCAATCCCGGAAGTTCTTCCGCGCGGTGTCTTTTGGGCATGACGAAGTATTCATTAAGTAATGCTGCCTTCCCTTTTAAGCCGTCAGACCCAGACAGACACCATGTCCTAGGCAAGGGAAGCTCGTGTCTGGCTCATGCAGATGCACAGGAGGCGCTGAGAGGTGCCGTCCACCAGGCGAAGGTTTCGGAGCCCAGCTCCTTCCGGTCCGGGCTCGGCTGCCTTCCACACGTGGGTCCCAGGGCTCCCCTTCACCTGCACGGAGAGGAGGGGGCGGTGCCCGGGCAGGGAGGGCTGCAGGAGGCGCAGGCGCCTGCCCCTCAGGTGCCTCTGGCCTCAGTCCTGTTGTCACTGCACTGCAGGGGGAGGGCCGGGAGGCGGAGTCCGGCCTGTGCCCAAAAGGGGGCGGCCTTGGGTGAGCAGCCAGCGGCTTTGGCGGGTGAACCTCGCAGCTCAGGCTGTGCCCTGCCGAGTGCCCAGTGTGGCGCCGCGACCACTGACAGCAAACATGGGGTTCCCCGGGGGCTGATGCCTGCGCCCGCATGTGTGCAGGGCTGGGCAGGGACACGGTGCCTCATCAGGAAACTGCGGCCCCCGCGAGTCGACCGGCTCCTGTCAGGGAAGCCCCGTCTCAAGGGGCTCAGCCGTCAGAGCTGCGGCCCAGACTCCAGTGTGCGAACGCTGGCGTGCGGCTGGTGCCGCTCACTGGCTGGGAGTTCTAAAGGGGCAGCGGGGGTCGCGGCGTGAAATGCCCCAGCAGGGCAGGCTGGCCCCGTGGGTGAGCCGCGGGGCAGTGAGTGGTGGGGGGTTGTGGCCACGGAGCCCCGGGCGGGCGGGCACAGTCCCGCTGCTGTCTCTCTTGGGGCCATGGCTCTGGGCAGCGTCTGTTTGTGAGAAAAAAGTTTCTGATTCCAGGGGAAGTTTTCAAATACTGACAGTTTCATCGAGTCTAAGCAGAATAACGTCTGTGGGTCCTGTCTTTGCAGGTGACTTTTGGGCTTTCAGAAGGGCGTTGCCGGCGTGGTCCCCGGGGGAGGAGAGGCAGGTGGGATCCCCGAACCTGGGGCCTGGGGCAGGGGCGCCTCACCTGCCACCGGGCGGGAGCCCAGGGGGTACGGCTTGGACTGCCGTGGCTCTCATGTGTTCATGTCTTACATATCCTTTCCCAACGGGCCAGCCGTTTCTGAGATGCGGCAGGGAGCTGCGTTCAGGTGTGGTCTTCCGCTCCTGCGCCCCAGGAGGCCCTCCGGGCGGCGCCCGGCTGTGTGCCGAGGCACCTCCGACTTCCCGGGAGCGGCGCAGGCAGCGGAGGGGGCTGGGCTCCGCCGTCCTGTCGGTGCTCCAGACCGCGTGTCCGTCCGTGTCCGCCCCGAGTTCACTGTCACACCGCCCACTGCGGCAGTGCAGGAGGTGGGCTTCTGGGAAGTGATCGGGTCACGAAGGGGGAGCCCCAGGGTGGCGTTAGGACAGCGAACTGGCACACTCCGCACCTCGTCAGGCACAGCGAGAAGGCGGTCCTGCTGGCCCGGCCCCCCGTGTGGGCACGGGGGCCTTAGACGTCAGCCTCCAGGCCCTGGGAGATAAACGTCTGTTGTTCACAAGCTGCCACAAAGGGCATGTAACTTTGTTGCGGGATGAGATACAGAATTGCAAGAGAAAGTAAATATCCTACTTGTCAAATGCCCAGAGAGGGAGGCCTGTTTCTCCAATATGCTACAATCGCTGCGACCTTTCCGGTGCACGGGTTGGTATTTTATAGCAAACAGAATTGTGGAGCAGAAATGTTAACCACAGGAGGGAGGCACCGGGCTGCCCTGGCGCGTGCCTCGCACCGCAGGCTGTGCAGCAAACCTGGGGCCCTCGGGACACGCGTGGCCAGGCGGGGCTGCAGGTACCGAGGCAGCAACACAGGGCGCCCACCACCCACGTCGCAGAGAAAGGACTGAGCCAAGGCGGCTTCAAGCGCGTCCACTGTCTCGGGGCCTCGGCAGGTGCAGACTCCGCCCGACAGGACTGTTGAGAAGCGCCGGCATCTTGACCGCGGACTAACACGGGGAATTTTGCAGATGAGATGCTGCAGCTTGGTGGAAACATCCCAGCAGAGCTCTGGGTGCCACCTAAGGGTCGCGCCCAGGGCTGGCAGGGCGTTGGCGTCGGTGCCAGCGTGCAGGCGCTTCGGCGCGGGGACGCCCGCCAGCCTTGGTAAAAGCCACCGGCTTCCCTGCAGTGCCTCCGTGTGCTCTCAGTGATGCTCCTGGTCAGCTCGGCTTTAAATGGC